TGGAACTGGTTGGGGTACCCTTTTCATATTTGAAATTCAGAGGAGGATTCCAGCTAGACTATGTTGGCTACTGGATGGATTACAGCCGCTTTGAGATTGGGCTGTCCGAGAAGAGAGCCAATTGGTTGATCAAGTTTGTAGAAAGTTTGCAGAGCGATGGATGGCTGACAGGCGTTAGACAATTCCAAGAGTTTCATGGTAGATTGGGATTCGCATCACAGGTACTGCCTTGGCTGAAACCCCTTTTGGGGCCTGGGTATGCGTGGTTGTCAGCGGTGGCAAAAGCTACTACGTTGAAAGTGCCAGAGTTGTTGGCCATCACTTGCACCTTCATCAAAGAGAAGTTTGGCTCTGGTCTGAGAAAGTTACCTTGCGGATGCAGGGAAATGCACATGGGCGAAATTTTCCGCACTGATGCAAAGTGTGCTGATGGGCGTGTGATTTTGGGAGGTTGGCGCGCAGACCTCACGCCGACTTCAAAAGGTGCACCTTGGTTTTCTTTGGAGATTGGTGCGAATGAAGCCCCTTGGTTATTCAGGGGCCCGGAGAAGAGCTCATCTTGGGCAAGTACTTCAGCGGAAATGTTAGCATCAGTTGTTGCTTTGCAGGTTTTTGACATTGGAGGTGACCCTAACCGCAGAACATCCCATATTCTTCACTGCGGGGCGGGAACGGACAACAAAGCAGCGGAATCTCTGGCTGCAAAAGGGCTCACAACGAAATTTCCTTTGGTGATCGTTTTGATGGAGTACTTAGCAATCTGTGAGCAGAGACGCATGCGTTGCCAGTTGGAATGGCGACCGAGAGAAACGAATACTGAGGCAGATGATTTGACCAATCAAGTCTTTGACAAATTTGACTTGGAGAAACGTATTGATATTTCTTGGAAGCAGCTGAAATTTCCCATGATCAATTTGCTGATGGGCTTCACTGAATCCTTTTCGAAAAGGAAGATTGAGCCCGTGCCCAACCAAGCTTCAGGATCGTCGCAGAAGTTTGCAAAATCAAAATGGGGTTGACGGTCTGCTTCCGTTTCAGTGGGGCTCGGAGCTCCAGCAGTACCTGATTTGTACCCACTGGATTCTTACATCCACTCCTTTGACAATGCAATTCAATTTACATTTTGGACTTTTACGTTCAAACTTGCGTGGCACTCATCCATCAGCGCGGCAAAAAGAATTGCTATCTTGGGAATTTCAGCTTGCTGACAATACTTTCTCTCTAACCTCCCAAACAGGACTTGCAGTCCGGTCTGTAAAATATCTTTGTAGTTGCGTTATGCGTCCCTAACTGTGCGTCCTATGCTTAAACCCAGCGCCTGCTAAACCACAACGCCAAACATAACAACTTAAACCTCAACCTAAACAATGTCAAAACCACAAATCTGTTTCTATTTTTACATGTCGTTTTCCAGTGATGTCTCACTGTACATGTGAAACATGTATCGGTTTTATGTTGAAAGTGTTTATCAATTTTATGTTCGTGTGGCTGTCCCTGTTTAAGGGTGTGGTGGGCGGGTGCGTCCTTTTTACATGCCATGGACAATTTCTGTGGAATCAGGGGAAAGGTGCTTCGTAGGGGCACTCCCAAGCACCGTGGCGAGTGTCTTTTTGCTGCATTGAAACCTAGCTTCCGGTTTGAGTCTTTTCAACTTGTCACAGTTGCTTTTACCGCTGGATTTGTTGCTGGTTTTATTTTTGCAGTTTGGTACCTTATCAACTCCTGAGCAGAGAGTCGACCATGGACCCGGACGCAGACAATGCTTCAGAAGGGTCACGTGCTTTGAGAGGTTTTCGCAGGAGATGGGCCCGGGCCTCGTCTGAGCCTGCAACTGAACGTTCAGAAGTCGCTGCGTCTCACTTTAGTGATGAGCCTTTATAAAACCTTGCTCACAGGTGGTGAGCCACCGTCCTCTTCCTTGCGCGTGCTGCGTCCTTTCCTCCGCGTTCGCGTTTCGAAGTTTCTGGAAGATTGACTTCTGAAACCTCCGTTTTTAAACAACTTGAATCTTCTGTGGTTTGAAGTTGTTTTTGAAATTTGCGGTCTTGAACTTTCAACATGTCCAACTTCAGTGTGCTGTGAGTTTTCTCATTTGGAATGTTATGATCAGTCGTTCACCGCGTTTTTAAAATTTCAAGGGAGGGTGGGTGGGATAAAAGTTCTCACTACCCGGAGTTTCAAATGGGGGTAGTGAGTTTCGTAGGCTGTTTGCTGGCAATGGATCTCCTGATACATGCTTCTGCTTTTCAGTTGGGCGTCAGGAAGTCTGGAATCAAGTTACCGTGGGAGAGAGAGCCTCTGAACCCAGTTTTTGCAAAGAGGGCTAGGCTGATACAACCACCCGTTTATGTGCCAGTACTCACAGTACCAGAGCAGATGGTGGACATCCCACGGGTTGAAACTGAAGGTCAGATCAGATGGTCACGAAAGACCTCTTTGATTCCATGGCCGATTGCTCAAGATCGAGCTCTTGCAAGAGCGCTGGAAGCATGGAGGATCATCCTCACAGACAATTTGCAGGGATCTATGGTTGGCAGACAAATTGAAGAGGCACTTGCTGGAGACCCTCAGTCACAGTCAGTTGAGAAGATCATTTCAGATGTACTCTCTGGCAAATCAATCTCGACTTTAAAGGCCAGGTCGTCGTCGTTGTTGACTTATGGTCGATGGAGAAAAGGTTTAACTCCAGATGCTCCAATTTTTCCAATGGCGGAATTGCAGGCATACACTTATGTGCGTGAACTCAGGGAACACAATGCACCTCGTACCAGGGCGACACGATTCCTGGAAGCTGTTTCGTTTGCACACCATTTGCTAGGAGCTGATGTTGGAAACACTTTGAGGTCGTCAAGAGTGAAAGGTGCAGCAACAGTCCCTTTAGTCATTCCGAAGAAGAAGACTCCACTGACCATTTCACAGGTACGTTTTCTGGAGCATATTGCCATTTCTGGGACAGGACCTGAGGCAGTCTTCTGTGGATACGTGTGCATGATCCTCCACATGAGACTGAGGTGGTCAGATGGGCAGTATTGTCAAACTGAGCCATTTACAGATTTGCACGATGGTAAGGGCTATCTGGAGTGTCAGTTATATCACCACAAAAATGCAGGACGGCAGAAACATGCAAAGAGGCTTTTGCCAGCAGCTTGCAACTTGCCAGGCCTTTCTGGCGTGAACTGGGCTACACCTTGGCTATGGCGTCGACATGATCAAGGTCTGGTCGCAGGGCCGGGATTGCCGACAATGCCAGCCCCCCTCTCAGGAGGGGGCTGGGCTCAAGTGCCGCTGGAACCGAGTCAAGCAACGACCTGGTTGCGTGAGCTCTTGAGGGGCTTGGCACCGATGTCAAGCCCTATGGATATAGGGACGCATTCCTTGAAGGCAACCTGGCTCAGTATTTTAGCAAAAGCTGGATGCGATGGCGACCTGAGACGATTGGCTGGGTACCACACTGACCCATCTGCAAAGATGGCATTAGAGTACAGCCGAGATGCACAGGCTCCTGTACTGATGGCAATGGATGCAGCGGCAGTTGCAATCGATCAAGGGCTTTTCGATCCAGACTCGTCCAGAGCTAAGCGTTGGCCTCGAAAGGGTTGCAACTCTTTACAAGCTGTCATGCATTTTCTTGCAGACATTGATGCTGAAGAATTTTAGTATCAGAATCAGAGCTCAGCCTTGGAACCTGACCTGAGTCAGACTGATGATATACAGGAAGGCATGGACTTCCCTGGACCGCCGTCTGAACCCTACTCTCCTTCTCATTCTGATGGCAGTCAATCTGTTGTTGAGTCAATTTCTTCCATCAGTGAATTGAGTGAGAAACCACTGCTTGGTAGGGATTTCGTCTCTTCAGACGAGGAGCGTGAGGCAGAAGTGGCCGCACCGATAGTAGGTGAAGAGCTTGCTGTGGCCTTAGAGCAGAACATTGACACAGAAGTGTTTAGGCATATCTTCAGCGGTTGTTGCCACATTGCACGAAACGCCAACACTGACCCTGATGATGGCGAAGCTATCCAGCTGAAGTGCGGGAAGCTGGCAACTAAGAATTTTGAGAGGGCGCGTTTGGCAGGCAATTTCCTGCCGTATAAATGCTCCAGGTGCTTCACTGGCGGTTGATGTGTTTTTGATTTGATTTCAAACTGTTTTGCATTGCGTGAGTTTCTTTTTGTCAGAAGTGATTTTGGGCACCACCAGTTTCACTGTTACTTGTGTGCAGCAGTTCAAGGTGCTTGGAACTCAGTTTATGCATGTTCATGTCCACAGTTTGTCGCTCATGTCATGTTAAGTGTTTTCATTGTTGAAACTGGTCATGTCACATGGCGAGAGTTGCATGCCCTGCAAAGTGAACCCCAGAGGGAGCTGCTCCAAGCAACCAGCAGTAGGGAATGCGTCAGGTGCACAGAGCTCAGACAATGACAGTTACAACCATTTTTTTTTTCAAAAGGTAGTCAAACAGTCACCTCGGCTTTTCAAGTTTGCAGTGTGTGATGTTTTTGATTGCAGAACTCACCATGCACAGAGCCCAAAGCTCTAATACCTGGCAGAGCGACAGTACAGAGCTGGGAGCTTGGGGCTGACAGAACTCCGTCCGCAAAGTGTCACAAAAGAGTGAAACCATTTCAGATCCAGCTGGCCGATGATTCCGTGATTTGTCTTGTGAACCTTGTGATGTTTTTTTTCTTTGATTCCTGACGAATGAACATGTCACTGAAAGCAGTCATGTTGTGAGTCATGAAATCCACTTGCAAGCCATGACCACAGGGTCATGATGGATCCATGCATGACGTTGCATGGACAGGCTCCAGAACAGAAAGCTGTTGCTGGAAAAGGAAAGACCTTTTTGTGCCTCATTTTTCGTATAACGTTTATTTCATAGTCACTCATTTCCAGCCACAACCGGCGATAGCTGGTCCTTTTATGTTTTGTCAGAAGACAACAGCAGTTCATTGCCCGTCACCACTTCACAATTGAGTTGTAGACCGGTAGTGGCGACAGCCATGTCCCTAGTCGACAGTACTGCAGTGTTCGAAGCCAGAGCAGCGAGCATTGGTGTTCCTGACGATGTGGTGGCTGCGATGGCATTGAAAGGTTGGGTCAGTCATGGAACCTACGCATTTGCTGTTGCGACTCAACCGGGTGCCGACGAGCAGGCTTTTCTGGATGGGGTCATAATCCCATTGCTGGGTGGGGCGGACCACATTGCTGCACCCAAGCTGCGCAGACTCTTTTTCGAGTCACACACATTGACATCAGCAGAACTTCGTCGCCAAGTTGATGCCACAGAGCAAGAAGCTCCCAGGAAGTTGCCTGCACCAGAGATCTCTCAGCGTATGGAGCTGCTTCAGGCTCGAATCAGGCCATTGATTGTGGCTAACTTCATGGAGCCGTCACATCATCTGATCAACTCATTGGTGCAATGTGTGGAGGATGGCAGGGTCAGGTACATTGAGTGGTCGCGTTGCACTTCTCGAACCCAGGAAGTCAATAACATCAAAGAAGATGGTGACCTGAAGATTTGGAAAACTGACAGCACAGGAACTATCAAGGCCACTACAAAGGAACCATCTATTGTGGCTTCATTGAACACGGAGTTGGACGTCCACAACGCTCTGAGACATCGAGGGGTTGCCTACGAGATTGCACAGGCAATGACGTTTGAGGTGCACGAGGCCATCATCAACTATTTTTTCTTTGAGCTCAAGAAGGATCCTATGGAGGGATTTGGACAGGTGACCCTTCAACAAGTTGCTGCAGCAGATAGGGAATTGCATGTGAGATTAGCAGAGGCTACGAGAGGAGGCTTCAAGACTGGGCCTGCTGGTGAACTTCCGTTGGACATCCATGTGAAACGGATTTTGGATGGACCTGAGCTCAAATGGATGCTCATGCCATTGCCAAAAAGAGCTGCAGGAAAGCCCACAACAGACGGTCCATCCAAGCCCTCGAACGATGCGGAATCGAAACGGAACAAAGCAGAGCCGAATAAGACAAAGCAGGATTCGTTGAAGCTAAAGCGGCTGAAACGAACACCCATGCCCAAGAAGTTGGTCGGTTGTGTTCCATGCAATGACGAAGGTCAGCCTCTGTGTTTTGCTTTCAACCTTGGGACATGTGCTAGCAGTTCAGATTGCCCGAAGGGGCTCCACATGTGTTGCAAGAAAGGCTGCAATAAAAGACATGCGTTTGTGGTTGCGCACAAGCAAGGGGCTTGACTATCAAGTGAGCTGATGGTAAGCCCACCAAAGGCTTGCATAAAGGAAGAAGTTCAACCTGTGGCTGCATCACGAAAGCGTGGCACAGCCGCTATCAAAGTGGACGACAGTCGTCCCAGTGAACCGGTGGCAAAGCGAAAGCGCTTGGTCACGGGTTGCTCAGTTGCAGAAGTGCACAACGTTGTTAGTGGTGTTGGTGACAAAGAGTCAACACAATCACCTCCGAAGGAGCATGACATTTTTGCAGAAGCAAGTTTAAAAGATGCAGAAGTGCAGTCTGGAAAACAGCTTTTTCTCTTAGATTTATTTTGCGGTACAGCAGGTGTGACAGCAGCTTTTAGAGCGTGTGGTGGTGATGCACTTGGCATTGATCACATCATTGATAAGCGGAGAGTCAAAGGCCCTGTCTCAAAGGTCGATTTGACGAAGAAGGATGGCCAGGAAACCATAATGGGATGGATATCAGCTGGAAAGGTGGACGCTGTTATGCTTGCCCCTCCTTGCGGCACAGCGTCGCGAGCCAGAGAAATACCGATACCAAAAAGACATCGCCTGCGTAAAGGCATGCAGCCAGCCCCCTTGCGGTCAGAGCAGTTTCCAATGGGGTTGCCAAATTTGAGAGGCGTAGCCAAGCTCAAAGTCCAGGCTGCAAACCGCTTATATTCGTTTGCAAGAAGGGTCATTGATTTGTGCGTGGCCATGGACATCCCTGTCATTTGCGAGAACCCACGCCGGTCTTTGATGTGGAACACCGATTATTTCAGTGACTTGCCGTCAGTTTGCCGTTTCCAACATGTGCACTCCTGTATGTACGGCGGCAAACGAAAGAAGCGGACTTCATTTCTTTTGAATTTTCATGCGCAAAATTTGTTACTGGAATGCGATGATAAGCATCAACATTTGCCTTGGGGACTTGTACAAGATAATGCGCTTTCTGAGATCAAGTTTTCGACCAGTCTCGAAACTGAATACCCTTCGGGACTTTGCAAGCAACTGGCATCAGCTTTTGTGGATAGGTTGTTACAACAAGGCAAAGATATTGCCCAAACACCACTCCAAATGGAACAAGCCCAGCGCATGGGCTCAGGCTTGCAGCCGCGTGGAGGTCGTGCACCACTTTTGTTGGGTGACTTCAAGTTCAAGATTGACGTGACCTCCGAGGATGTGGACATTCCTTCCCAAATAAGTGAATCAGTGCACCCTCCATTCCAAGGTATTCCTATCCATTCAAAGCTGATTTCTTCTCGATTAGTTTCTGAAGTGGGGGATGAGGGCGAGAAGAGAACACGTGCGATCTCGACCTTTGGAGTTTTCAGGTCTCCTTTCGAATTCCTGCACAGAGCAATGACCCTTGAACATCCCCTTGACACTCCCCACAATGTGGACAAATCCAATTTGAAAGCAATTTTATTTATAAGAGACCACAGTGCGTCAGAGGTTGTACAGTTCAGAGCAAAGCAACTCAAGAAGTACATGTCACGAGCAGCTCAATTGAGCGAGCAAGAATTTCAGTTCAAGGAGACGCTAGATGTGGACGTAAGACGCGTTTTGGAAGGGAAGAGACTTTTACTTTTTAAGGAGATGGCCGCTGACGCCAAGGTGGGTGATGAGACTCTTTTTCAGGAGTTAACGGAAGGGTTCAGGTTGACTGGTGAGATGCCCCAGTCAAAACAATTTCCTGCGAAGTTGAAACCTGCGATGATCTCAGTTCAACAACTCAGAGAGTCTTCAGTTTGGGCAAAGAAGATGATCCACTCCTCTTGCCGTAGGGTCGGTTCAGATCCTGAGATTGCGAAGGCTGTGTTTGAAGAGACGCAACAGCAACTGAAGGATGGGTGGGTACGTGGTCCTTTTTCGGCCACGGATTTGGATGTGAAATATGATGGCTGTTGGGTGCCTTCAAAACGTTTCGGAGTGCGTCAGGGAGGAAAAATTAGAGCAGTTGATGATTTTTCTGAATTTTTGATCAACGCCTCGGTCACCTCTACAGAGAAACTTCAGTTGTTTGGCTTAGACGAGGTCGTCAACACTGCAAGAACTTTTATTGGATGTGATTTTCTTAGGGCTGATGACCTCTTGGAAAATTTGTGGTGTGACCCGGCCGTGCGTTTCTTCAAAGGTCCCTGGACTGACATCATGGGAAGAGCACTGGATTTGAAGAGCGCCTACAAGCAACTAGCAAGGCATCCCGATGACAGTTGGGCATCTATTTTGGCAGTTTGGAATTTTGAGACTTCAATGGTGGAATACTACGAATCATGTGCACTGCCTTTTGGGTCAATATGTGCGGTCATGGCATTTAACCGCATGGCACGTGCCCTCAGACTGATTTTATCTGAGCTTTTCTGCGTAGTCAACACAAATTTCTTTGATGATTTTTGTCAACTTGAAAGGAGTGAGCTGTGCGATTCAGCATGGCAGTCTGCAGAGTTGGTTATGCGCCTTTTGGGATGGAGGATCTCAATGTCTGAAGACAAACGTGGCCCCTTTGCGAAGGAGTTCAACCTTCTTGGTGCCGTGATTGATCTGTCAGGCGCTACGCAAGGAATGGTATCGGTACACAACAAGCCTTCCAGGATTTCTGACCTACAAGAATTGGTCAACAGCATTTGCAATAGCCAGACAGTGGCGATATCGACTCTGGAGACCCTCAAGGGTCGTCTCTTGTATGCCGCAGGGCATACGTTTGGAAGATGTACTCAATTGGCAATTCAACTGATTTCTCGGGTGGCTCGCAGAGGCCCTTTGGTACTCCTTGACGAACAGCTTAAACATGTCATTGTGAGAGCAATGCACTGCTTAGTTAACTCGAAGCCAAGACGAGTGGAAGCTTGGTCCGGAAGGGTCCCCATCATTTTATTCACAGATGGTGCCTGCGAGGATGAGGGCGCTCTGGTAACACACGGTGCAGTGTTATTTGACCCTGAATCAAACTTGGCGCTTATGTTTGGTGATGAGATCCCTCATGAATGGACCTCGAAATGGAAGTCTGAGGGACGCAAACAGTTGATTTGTCAAGCTGAGCTCTTCCCAGTGATCATCGCGAAGAATACTTGGAAAGATGCTTTGAAGGGACGTTCAATCCTTTGGTTCATCGATAACAACTCTTCTCTTGCGGCGATCATCAGATCGTACTCTCCAGTACTCGATAACTTTGAGATGCTTGTGATTAATGCTCGATTGGACACAGAACTTCAGTGCCTACATTGGTACTCCAGAGTACCATCCCGATCCAATCTTAGTGACGATCCGTCACGACTTGTTTTCAAGGAACTTGAAAGTCAAGGCTTCAAAAGATGCACACCATGTTACAATCTCACGAGCGGGTGAAATGGGGTGGCAAGGCGTGAGATATAAAGATGTCTTACGCGTAACACGAAAGCGTGCCGACTCCCCAATTACCTAAAGGTGAGAAAAAAGTTACAGTGTGAATTTTTAAAGACGTCAGCTGTGCAAGCACTTTCACGATGTGCATTTCTCCGTGTCGAATTCACGTTGTCATTTTGATATATATATATATACTTACTTGAGTGTTTGTATATATATATATACGTTTTCAATTTAATTTTTGTTTTGTAAGCAACGCGCAACCAGGGACGCGAGCGTAAAGGTAGAGGTGAGCTTTGGTTTGATAAGCTGCGTCTCACTTTAGTGATGAGCCTTTATAAAACCTTGCTCACAGGTGGTGAGCCACCGTCCTCTTCCTTGCGCGTGCTGCGTCCTTTCCTCCGCGTTCGCGTTTCGAAGTTTCTGGAAGATTGACTTCTGAAACCTCCGTTTTTAAACAACTTGAATCTTCTGTGGTTTGAAGTTGTTTTTGAAATTTGCGGTCTTGAACTTTCAACATGTCCAACTTCAGTGTGCTGTGAGTTTTCTCATTTGGAATGTTATGATCAGTCGTTCACCGCGTTTTTAAAATTTCAAGGGAGGGTGGGTGGGATAAAAGTTCTCACTACCCGGAGTTTCAACCCGCCCTCCCAACCCTCTCCGGGCGTGAGATATAAAGATGTCTTACGCGTAACACGAAAGCGTGCCGACTCCCCAATTACCTAAAGGTGAGAAAAAAGTTACAGTGTGAATTTTTAAAGACGTCAGCTGTGCAAGCACTTTCACGATGTGCATTTCTCCGTGTCGAATTCACGTTGTCATTTTGATATATATATATACTTACTTGAGTGTTTGTATATATATATATACGTTTTCAATTTAATTTTTGTTTTGTAAGCAACGCGCAACCAGGGACGCGAGCGTAAAGGTAGAGGTGAGCTTTGGTTTGATAATTTATGAAGACCAGTGTCATCTGAAATGTGGACAAAGACAACTGTGGTGAGTTCTCCATATGGACCGACATAGCGTAACCGTTCTTTCCACCAAGCAGCGACCATTGGCCAATGGCTGAGTCCAGGCACAGACTTGACCTCGTCCGATTGCAAATCACGATTGTCCGTCACCAAATATACCGTATGGTAAGGCAAGAAAGCAGAGCTTTGACTAACCAACCATCGGTACAACTTGTGCCAGTCAGGTCCAGGTACGGTTTCGCTCCCGTTGACCATTGCAATTTCGTTTCCGTCTGGCGATTTCAGGGGGCAAGTGTTGAAAAACCTGACACGTCTTTGGCCAGGCAGTTCAAGCACCTTAACAGGAGACAAGTGGAATCGAAAATCACCCAACACTCAAGAATTTAAGGTACGACAGCACAGCAGAGGCGGCGCACAAGGCAGTGAGGGAGCAAAAGTGAAATCAGGGGGGAAGGAACGGACAAGAGAGGCTGGAAGCCCTGACAGTCTTTAGTCAGAGAATCCAGGCACGAAAATGAAAAGGAGAAGGTGAGGGAAAGGATGGAAAGGAGAGAAGGGAGTAAGGCGAAAGGAGATAACGCAAGAGGGGTACTATCGTGGAATAAGGTCCCAATGCACGAAAGAGCAAGGTGTGATCTGTTGTATGACAAAGCAAGCCAGTAGTAATACCCTTTGCCCAATCACCGGAAAGGTTTGCTATATCGATCCCTCACCGAGGTAAGGAGGCACTATATGTTTCCCTTTTCTAGAAATAAGCTGAGGCAGCAGGTCTGTCTACTGCCGTACTTTGAGCCGATAGGATCGCATGGAGCGGTAGCTACATGTAACAGAGCACACGATACTTGTGTAGTGAAAGACATCATGGTTGAAATGAAGAATGTGACTAATGTGTACTGCTCTTTCGTTTTTCTTAGGGTCACAAGCAGGCCAGAATTCAGCCTTTACCTGGTGCCAGCCTCTCACTGGGAAAGTGTTCATCTGGAGCACACAATTAGTCAACTTGGTGCAGGAATGTTTCTTCCCGGTTGAGCTCCGGGGGTGATTGCAGCTCATTTCGTATTCGTACTGGTAAATACAGTCCTTCTAGTATTCTGCGCCATCGAAACGTAGCGAAGTTTATCTGTCGAGACTGTTTTTCAACGATATGTTGGTATTTCCACACAGTTTGATTCATGATAATGGTGGCCCTATCTGTCAAAGCTGTGGGTTTCACTCGCGCCAGAGAAGATTGCTCACGTCTCACCACGTCTGTTGCGCTACAGAATTGCTGTAGCAGGTCAATGACCGTGTCTTCAGCACTCTGCGCAGCAGCAGCTTGTACAGCGTTGAAGACTTCTTTACGGGCAGGGTGACCGTACCATTGCAGTGAATGGCAAAGCACGGAGGCAATCGCAATCTCCTGCCACGGGTCCGCTTGTGCATCTAGGAGCAGCTGTACATTTGTCCTGTGCCGATGGAGGACAGCAAGGAAGAGGGGTGGTAGCGCTCCTTTCACGGGCATCACCGAGGCACCAGCCTCAAGCCAAGTTTGAACAAGCTGCGAGCTGCCCAACTCAACTGCTAATTCCAACATAGTGGTAGGTTGCGTTTTGGGCGGGATGATATTGGGGTCAGCTTGGGCTTGTAACAGTAGATAGGTTAAACTGGCCCCATGTCGAGGGAAGCAGTGGCCAGCAATAGGCTGGTAAGCATACGGATCAGCAGAGTGGTCTCGAAGGATAGCAGAGGCTACTAATGTGCTGATATGCCCTCCCTCAGTCGTCACGTCCATAAGGCCTACGCCCTTGCCAAGAAGATAGCTTACATCCATCACATCTTTGTGATCAATGGCAGTTATAAGGTCTTGATATTGCTGTGCTGACGGGACTTGCAATGACTGCACTATATAGCATAATGCTGCCTCATTTGTATCAGTGTCGAATTGGACAGCCCTCAATGGCGATTGGATTACTGACGAGCTGTCTGCGTAGAGGACCACTTGGAAGGGTGAGTCCAACCTAAGCACCATCGCCGTCTGTTTCATAATGTCCCATCCGAGAGTTGTCCGTTCCACGACGTCCATTGTCAGGGTTGTTTCGCCAAGGATTCCATGGCGCACACGGAGCCGCATACTTGCCCCGTAAGATGAAGCGGAGGCAACCCTGACAGTCTTTAGCCAGAGAGGCCTCGCACTTATGACTGCAACCACAAACCTCGTCTAGGTAGGGGATAGGAAGGATACTGAGGGGTATGCCTGGAAGTATGAAAGTCAGCAACTGATTAGACCATTTGTACTCGAGCCAGAATTGCTTCGCAGATCAAACAAGAAAACCTTGCCACGTGGTCTCATTGACATGCAAGACAGCACAATTTATGCGTAACAGCAGTCAAATGTCACAGGCACGTGCTGTGCAGCCGTCGGTGATAGCACAGGTCTAGCAGATACGGCAATCTATTTAGTAAGAGACTTGCTTGTACCAGGAAACGGTGGTGATAATCAAAACAGTGCTTTTGTTTGAGCCAAAAATGTTGCAGGCACTCCACCGAGCAGCGTTACAAATGGCCACATGCTCACCAAGACACATCCTGCATGTGTGCAGAGGATAACATATCGCAAGACAATGTTTAATCAAGCATTCTTATATATTGCATTCTAATTGACTTTTACTGATCCATCAGTAGGCGTACCATCTAGTGCAATTACCTTCTTTTCACGTCCTGCATCCTCGGGGTGAGAATAAGGCCACAGTCTTCGCTGTGGTTCCTTCGGACTTTATACAGCATGCAGATGTCAATCTCATGTGCACTCAGTTCTGACTTCCCTCTGTAGCTGGCTCTGTGCAAGATTCGGTTGGAGCAGCTGAAGCAGCTTGCCCCACATCTTCCTCTTTAGCCGTTGCTTGTTCTTGCTCGATTTGCACTAAATTGCTCACTACTTCTTCCATTTGGGTGGCTGCTTCCATGACAGCATTTAATAGAGTGCGTGCATACGCCAGCTGTTTAGCAGCCCGGGCCCGGCCCTCTGCTGCAGGTCCTAGTGGCGGTACTTCACCATGTCGCCACATCATGACTTTGCTGGTTGTATGGGTTGGCACTGTTGCGGCTGATTTAGTCTCAGACTGATCGGCAAAGGTCGCATTAAGTTTCTGCAGATCACGGGCACTGTAGTTCCCGGACGGGTCAAACTGTTGGGTACTCGTTTGTCCCGAGGGGTCCGAGTACTTTCTCTTGCCATGTAGGTTATCTTCTCTACGCGGCATAGGCTTCATGGCACTCTTGTGTTCAAAGCCAGTCTTGAAAGTTTCGTGAACTGCTGAACTACAGCGGGATTCTCTGTTCAGGGCGATGGTTTTGTCCGTCACCTTGCCTGAGCTATTGGTCAGTTCAGTGAAGGGCCAGCACGGTGTGCGATTTGCCAGGATATTATGTTCATGCATCCTGTCGACATAGAAATGATTCAATTTCTCATTGTGTTGGTGGTTCGTGATGACTGCAAATCTTCTGGGGCTAACCCAAATCCATAGATCTTCCTGAAAGGAATCTGTGGCATAGAAGGGCCATATCTGTCGGCCTCCCATTTCCACAAACCAAAAGTTGGTATAGTCGTCATCACTGGCCTCAGTATCTACGTGACAGAAATCATGCGACAATTTGGCGGAGCTGGACCCTGGATAGGCCCAGTCCGGCGGGCTCTTCATGTCGTCATTGAGGATAATATTCCAGCATTCTCCATTGATGCACATTCTATATTCGTAGAAAGACCACGCATGGAGCTGCTTGGCGTGCTCATAAAAGCCCTGCTGCCGATAGACCTGGATGCCATCGTATTCCGTAATGTAGGACTCTTTGTACCCAGGTCGCTGGTATTCACTGTGAGCCTCAGTATCATTATTGCCTCCAGCTGGGCCCTCTTGGTCAGGCCCAGTCAGTGGGCCTGCCTTCAGGGTGACCTTATCACCAATCCAGTGCGCCATGACTGCCCACCGGAGTGCACGAAGGTATGGGAGAAGTAGGGACAGAGAGCAGGAAGGGAGAAAGAGGAGTCAGTCACAAGTGACGGACAGGGATGGACCAGGGAGCACACTTGAAGTACAAGCAGTGACGGTAAGCAGATGGGGTAGCAGAAAAGGAGACAGCCAAAGGGAGGGGAACGATGAAGAAGGCGAAGAGAGGGAAAGTAAAATAGAGAGAGGGTACTCCCCTGACACGTCTTTAGTCAGAGGAGTGGGAACCCTGCAAATGGGAAGGTGGTTTGAGCCCCAGAAGTGCGGCAGGGTATACAATATTGCTGACAGATCTCAATCTGCAGAACTTGACCAAGGTGGGCAAGTGTACTCATGAGTACAGCTGCTTATCATGCTCTCTGTCGTGACGTAACTTATCACTTCATTTTTGTCAGAATTTTCTCTCACTGCAATATCACCCTTGAGTACAATAGGCAAGCCCCTGCTTCGAGCCGGTTGATTCATCAGAAACTTGTTA